TGTATTCATATCTATCTATCTATGCTTATGTATATAGATGGTAATGACTACTTGGTTATATGAATATATGAATCTTATATATTTATATGTATATATATATATACAATATATATATATATATATATTTATATATATATATATATATATATATATACATTTATATATATATATATATACATATATATATATATATATGTGTGTGTGTGTGTATGGATATATTTATATAAATACAAGCTCTTTCTCCTATCTCTGTGGCCTCATATACATCAATGAACTGATTTTCACATACTCTTCTACGGATGCAATGACCTCCTCGAGCCCCATATTATAAACCTTCCTAAACACCAAGCTGACCATATCTTTGCGCGTTGTTCCTATCTGTTGCATCGCATTGGTATCTGTACAGTCACAGTCACTGTTGGAGGGAATTGTGGCTTTGCACAAGAATGTCCGCAGCCTGCGCGATTGCCTTACACTAGTCCTGTATATGTGTGAATAAGTTCGTTAGATGTGCATATGTATGTATGACTAAACAGATATGCTATAGAGGAATAAACGGTGCGGCTCAGTGCTCTCCCCATAGACATCCTGTCTGTAAAACAGGGCAGTGGTGTGGGTGGTTTATATTGTGCTGATTTCTATAAACTTGTCCTACATGGGCGCTAGCGATACTACCATGACTATAACCTCACATTGCATACTCCAATTACCCGTACACCTAACCGTAAGCAGTACTTAACATCCCACCCCACAACGCAACTGACCGCTAACGAACCCACTACCCCCGCTTATAAACCTCAATACACAACGTTACAAGTGCTCCCTGTGTGCACTGTTCAACTGGGATGGTTAGCGGTCTGCATATCGAGGTGCAGCAAAACGTTAAACGGGAAGAAGTCTCCAATCATCCATCACTCACCTGTCATGCAGGCGTTCCTTCAGTTCGCGACTGTCCCCACTACCACGTTGTGTATTGATGGTATCGGTTCGTGATGCCCTGATAGCTAGGTCTCTATACAGAGGTGTGTAACTACGTACAAACGGCGCATGCCCCGGCCTCGCCTGTTTCTGAGTATCCCGGGCGCATGGATCGACTGGGTGTGCCTGGTTGTACCTGCCATGGTGAACATCTGCACGGGTTACTGGGACATCATGCACACAAGCTCCTGTGTGCTTGTGCTTATCCGGCCCTATATCCGAACCGTCGTGTGTCGTTGTGTGCTGGGTCTGCTTGTGTACGTACTCGTCCTTGTCCATGCCCGGCCCTTGCTTGTGTTTGTCACCGTTTTGTTCATACCCCCCATTCGCGTGCTCAGGCATGTGCCATGCACCTCCGCATGGTCCACCTGTCTTCCCGAGTGTTTGGGCCACATCGGCATTCGCGTCGCATATTCCATACACACTGTGTCTGCCGTCACATGTATCAGACGTGCGCCTATGTACACACAGTTGTTGAGAGACTGTGCTAGCACTATAAGGCTTCTGCCGCTGTTCACCTCCCTGCATTCGGTCCAAGTCCTCCTCACATGTCTTGGTTGAATCACACACCTGTCTGTGATAACGTTCACACCCGCGTGATTGACTCGAAACCGTTTCTGCTCCCACACTAGAATACGGATAACCGGGCTGGGGATTAAAGTTTTCAGCACCCTTCGAAGGCGTTAAATGATCAAAGGCCTGTTCCAGGGCTTCTCTGTCTTCGCAGTTTTGCGCCGCAATTCTCTGTCTCTTTCTGCGGTAATCTCCAGTTTTCTCCTCACACACCGGCCATTCGTTCCCCATTGGCCCGTCCTGGCGTTCCCCACGCGTTGCTACTGTAATGTATATCGGCTGTTCTTCGGCCACGTTGCTGCCACTTTGGTGTCCGTGCGGTGGCTCTTGCGCTTGCGCTTGCACTTTCTGCTTCCTCGTCTCCGCAGAGGCGTTTACATCGCGTCGTGGCGTCGTCGTAGGCTGACTGCATTGCATCTGGTTTAGCGCTCGTGTAACATATCGGATCTCTTGTCCTTCCTGTTCAACTTTCTGTGTGTCTGGAGAGTGCTTCTGTTTGTTGCTTTGTTCCTTAGATAGCTGTCTCCGTTGGTGACGTTCGTAAACGGGGTCCTGGTCCATGTGCCTTTGAGCCTGTTGCACATGCTCCAGTGGATTTTCCAGTGCCGCATGGCCACCTCCAAGGTTTTCTCCACCCATCACCATGGCAACCGCAGTCTCAGTGCCCGTTCCCTTTGTTCCTTGCGGCTGGGCTGCCCCTGTATTCTTCCCTATCGTGCCAGCCAGCAGAGTCTGTAGTCGCTTCAACAGCGGCTCACACTCCGCTTGCTCAGCACGGGCCATCTCCTCGAAGAGCTGTACTATTTGCCGCATCCTTCCACCTACTTTATTAGATGTTGCCTGAAAATACACATTGACGCGGGCCTCTGATTGTGTCACACTACCTCGCGTCTCTGGCAGCTCAGTAGCTGATGCCGGCTGTACAGAACCTGTCGTTGGTTGGTCAAAGGGTTGTTCAGTGTTTGACACTAGTCCCTTTTTATTAAATGACACCTGGGGTTCCCAGCTCGCCTCTGCTTCTTGAGACTCGGACAGTCCATGAGCTATCAGTGTTTGCTCCACGGCCAACTCCGGTTGCCGGAGTTGTTGAACTAATGGCGGGTGCTTGTTTCTGGTGGAGTCTGGCATAGAGAAGGAATGCTTCAGAAGTGGAGGTTGCGGTGGGGGCATAGCCCGGTTTCGGGTTGTGATATGATCAACACTTGTGCCTAATTTTCGAAATTCAAAACTCGGTTTAGCAAGAGCGGGTGTCAGTGGTGACGACGGAGTATTTGTGTGCCGTTGAAGTGCATTCGTCTCGGTACTTTCGGCTCTCTTTGAGATCGATGTCATGCGGGGCTTGCCTGCGCCTTGCCAATTCCCTGCACTCGTAGTGTGCAATTGCTGCTGCGCGTCTCGCGAGTCTGTGAGTAACCGCTTAGACTCGGTAGAAGGATTCTGTGTCATACTGACAGTCTCTCTTGATCCCTGGGATTCCGTATTCGAAAGTGTACGGCGAGGTATCAAAGTCTTATCTAGAATTGGCATGGATTTAATCCGGGTCTCGCACTGGCGCAACCAAGCTGCCTGTGATAGCCCAATGCCCTCTAAATCGTAAAAACCCATACATGTCTGTCCATGCCGTCCCGGGAGTGGGAGCGACATTGACTGGTGTGCTTTGGGTTTGGGGCGGGCGTATACAAACCGGGGCACTCTTTCGTCGATTTGTTGGTATGTATATTTTCTATGCCGTTTTAATTTTGCATTCTGTAGGTTGACACTTGCTGCTACAACCTTTGGGATTCTAGAAGTATCTGACAACAGTTCACCGCTAGTTTTGGGGCCTTTCACGTCTACGGTTCTACCGTGTGTTTCTACTTTGTTCTCGGGACAATTTGTTGAGTGATGGTGGCTCCCTTCAGTATTAGCACCCTACATAGAAATAAAAATCAGAATACAGCGTGGTGAGAGTTGAGGAAACTACCAGTATTTACTCCTGAAAGCGATCAGAACAGCGTTGTAGGTACTATTTTCCGTGATAGCCGGATCTGTTTCAGTGTGTCGTTGCCACGAGCTTTTTAGTTGCACTGCGCTATGTGAATGTGTCAGCAAATAGTAATGCTATAAATCGCTTAAATAAGTCACAAACAATTTCCTCGTCGACGTCGAAGTCAAGGAATTTTTTTAGGTATCGGTTGAACGACCACATATCTCAGTTCGTATTCAGATACCTACTTACTATTTCAATCAATATGACTGTGCTGCTACAGGGATTTGAGAACGCAATTGCCACACCACCAGCATGATCATCTATACAGGTAGGCTTTATACCAGCACTATCTTGCTATGAACCCAGTTTTTACCAGACAAATATATACGTAGACAGCTACATTGCGATATTTAATTCAATCTATACAATGGGTAAGAAATGAATAAATAGTATATTTTGTTTCAAATAAGCGCACATGGAGAACCTTCACAGTTGGGACCCGAAATCTAGTCCACCGGATATCTATAAATATATACATAGGGTTGAACATAAATGACGATAGTCATCACTATGCTCTACAATATGTAAGCATCACAGCACCAATCGCACTGGCACTGCTAATATCTTACCTCTTCTTCATTTGTTTGCCACATCTCTTCGAGGATTGTGATCACAGATAATTCTTTTGTTGTCCTTTTCGCCTTGTCGCAAAACAGCCGATCTTCATCATCGAGTGTCGAATTCATTTCCATAGCACCTTGTGCAACGTTTGACCTGATCGTGAAAGGTACGAAAATATTTAGGGGTGTTCATGAGCATACTAGAGCTTATATAGCTTCGTCAGAGTACATTCTAGCAACCTCAGAATACACAATTTAATATGTGAGCCACACTTGTGATCCCGACATACCCCAGGTTTTAAACTAGTGATCCCAACATGCCATTCGCCTCCCGCTTTTATCAATTTCAACTGAACAGGAATGATCCGTGGCTCGCTGTCAGTTCACTCTATTTTTTTTTCCGTTTATATTTCATGTCATTGATCTATTACGCATTTCATGTTTTTGAGAAAAATATTTTTAAATGCCCAAGCCTAAAAACTATTCGTTTCGTCGTGTGAGCGGTGTGGAATAAAATAAGTGTTTTCGTGGCCAGTCAAAAACCTGATTCCCCCAATTCTACCCCACACGCGGTACAGTGAACAAAAGGCGACTACATTGTAATTTGTACGGTATTGTGTACATTGTATCCATAAGAGTACCGGAAATTTTAGAATGGCATTCTTTAATCGAAACCTTAGAATACAATATGATTGTGAGAGATTGTGTCCAGAAATTCCAAGGAGTGTTATACAAACAACCAGTAAAGCTGCCCGAGCGGCCTATTTCCAAATGGCAAAAATATATTTATTGTTTGTATGTATCTGTTTCTACTCTCGATTCATTTTAATGAAAGATCGATGTCAAGATCCAATTGTTTCCATTGGTAAATTAAATACAACTAAATAAGAATCAACAAGAATGTAAATATGCGTATTTAGCTGCGGCAGCGTATTTTAAATGGCAACTGTGGCAACTTGAAATCCTTTTTTTTTTTAAAAACAATCAATAAATTGGATTTGGAGGTGACTGGTGACAGTGATGAGTGGTGACCATTACTATCCTACCCGTACTGTCGGATAGCTGAGCAGTGAGCTCGGTATTTATTGATTTTATCTCGTTGTCTGTCGGTTTTTATTAAATATTTCCCGCTAGGAACTTGAAAGGAAGTCAATATATTAAATATATTTAATGGACATTGTATATATGTACTAAAAGTTGTTTTTTGTAGGGTTTAGTATCCAGTATCATGTATGGAGTTTGTACATAGGTATGTATGTATCTACATTGTAGTCGCAGACTCGCAGTCAACAAACAAACCTCCATTTCTAAAATATGTACTAAAATAGTAGACCACAAATACACCAATAAATATGTTGTACATAGAGTAGAGACTCTCCAAATTTGAAAATATAGAATAAGGAAAAGTGTAAAACGGAAAACCCTCGGGCTACAAGCTTCTACACGAAAGTAAAACCATTGACCTAACCACCTGGGCGTTTGCGCGCCAAATGCTTGAACGCCAGCAATAACTGAAAAGCCCAGGAACCATATAAATACCGTTGGTCCGTTGGTTGTCACCTTCACTTTACTAGTGTGAAGTTTACAACCAACCTAAGTTAAATAAACTTGACCTGACCTCCTTTTACTTTCGTCTGCCCAAACCTCGTAGGTCTTACAATCTAACTTAGGCTGGTTGTAAACTTCACACAGTCCGAAAGAGGTGGCCAACAAGTCCGGCACGAATGTCTCAATACGGCAGTCCGGAAGAACCAGGTAAATAATTATATTTGAACCAGGTTATTTTTATTTATTTTTGAATTTAGTGAAATATGTGGTTAATGAAATCAGTCAAATCACAGAACAGGACAAGATCTCTTGGACCTGGAATTTGTAAACAGAACAGGACAAACCAGAATTGTCCTAGAATAAACAACAACGGGATCAAATGGAACGTAGATAGAAACAAGAATATCGGCAGGGTAGTCACATGTGAAATTTGTATTATGTATAAACAAAACTACAGTGCAAACCAACCGATATTTAATATTCAGTAAGTATCGATCCACTAATTCACGATTAAGTTCAACAGAACATTGACTCTAGTCTGAGGTGTCGTATTCCATTTCAGCTGCAAGTATCTACAGAAATAGATAAAGACGATCAGGACATGTTTATAGGAGATGTAGATGCACTGATAGGACTGCAGGTATCACAGTGCCTATGGGCGTACAAGGGTTATACAGAAGAGAAAGAGTTAAGGCAAAAGGGTACCGTTTACTGCAAAATAGATTTACACGTAGAATCTTTCGCTATGTTTCTCACGTCCGACACTGATATCAAAGCATACTATTTAAAACCCTCAGAGAGACAGGCATCACTTGTGTTTCCGTGTTTTTTAGTTTCTTCACTTGATTCACCGATACGTATATGGAATATGACGTCTTAACTGTCATTGATGCTCCCTGGTCCATTTTCTGTGCCGAGGTCTATTTGGAGAGGCCCATAAATATCAACCCTGCCTTTGCAGATGGACCGGAAGCGGTTTGACACTGAATCAGGCGTTAATAATTTTACGTTCAGCTTTGCCGTATAGATACATTCACTACACAAAATAAAACCACAACGCGAATAAATTCACTGTACACAAGAACACTCTCTAAAAACGAAAAGTTCTGAAACATTTTTTTCTTCGGTTGAAGTGAGTGTGCAGAATTGCAGTGCGGCTGTGCGGTTGCACTTCTCTCTCTCCTGAGTCTTGTGACATTCCTGTGGTTTTAGAAGCATTTTTTAACGAAAAATGGTTATTTAAAAAAAACAATACTAAAACTCGTAAACGACTACATAAAACGGCGGATGAAGGTTTGCAGTGCGGTGACAGCGGTGACGGTCACTGAAGTCAGTGAAGACAATGGATGTCTGGAACCCTGGATCAGTGTGTGAAAGGCTGAGAAAGTTGAAAATTGAAATTTTTTTGATTAACTTTTTCCACTAAATACCGTGGGGTTGGGATATTCTAGAATTTCTATTGGGACTTGGGTATCCATTACTCCCTCTCTCTCCCTACATAGAGTAGAGTTAAATATTTACCAGAGTTACTTACCCGCAGGCGGAATATCTCGTTTGCCGGTTACTTAATTTTTTATCAGCAAAAGATTTTATACTTTTTTAAGAAAAAGATCACCTTACAGCATTTTTTAAAAACAAATAACAAAATATACATTTGTGCCGGTGATCCAAGAAGTGTCTCGTTTTTCCGTATTTGCGGACCATACAAATTTATAAAAAGGCTTCGAAAGGCCCATTTCACTAGAGTAATTTGGCTGTAAGAAAAGAGTTCAGGCTTTTTCCGGATTTGTGGTCCCTAAATTTTTGTTTTGTTCTATTTTAGAAGGCTATGTTGAAACGCTATGAATTTTTTTGAAGTTAACTGGTTAAAAAAAACAGTACATAAACACTGAATGGTTTTAGGTAAGATATTGTACACGTTTGAAACGTAAATAAAAGACCATTTGACTAAATAGTATAAACCGAGACATGTATTTATATTTGTTTTAACAAATGACTTTTGCTCACAATACGAATTTTCGCAAGAAAACATATATATCCACTTGCATGCATAGTGACGCGGGTGATATTAATGTACATGTACAGATATATGTACATGCATACGCACCTGTACTTACACATGAACCTGCACATGTACCTGTCCCTTCAAATACACAGGTACATGTACATGTACTTCATGTACTTGTACATATACTTGTACATGTTCATATACACGTACATATACTTGTAGATGTACATGTGCATGTACATGTACACGTACATATACTTGAACGTATACATGTAAAAATCTATGTACATATACCTGTGCAAGAACTTGTACAAGTACAAGTACATGTACCTGTTCATGTACATGTACATAAAATTAAAGCACCTAAAACATATACAGCACATATGCATACACTTGTACAGCTAAATGTATGTATATATACATATATATACATATCTATATATCTATATCTATATATATATATTATAAATATATATATATATATATA